ACAAAAGCAAAGTGATCTGTTATCCCGCCTTGCGTCGTGCACTCTTTCCATTGTTTGTCCGTCCGTGTTCATACGTTGCATTACTCGTCCCAAATTGTTCAAATTGTTACTGCTTTCTAAGCACTTAGAAATTAAAAAATCCTGGCGTCAGTGGGAACGTTGGGTCTCATAGACCCGCTAGTTATTAGAGCCCATTTAAATCACTAATTCATTTATTTTTAGGGGTTAGTCTAAATATTTTTTTATTATGGACTAAAAGATGAAATAAATCATAGCTCCAATACTTAGCATGAAATACATCCCTTTTTTTTTCTTCTCAGACAAGTGAACAAAAAACAAATAGAAAGTGTACGAAGATAAAACAAAGAAAAGAAAATGTAGCATTAAGTTAATAACTGCAATGTTGACAAAATATGTCTGCATTACTTAACATTTCTAAACATTACAAACATATTAGAAGCATTTTTTGGTAATGTTTATGGAAGTATATTTTACAATTTTTTTTCGTCCATTTTGGTTTTTTCAACCTTTTTGAGAAAGTGTTTCAGTAGCCTACAAAAATACAAACTAATTTGCATTTCGTAACCCTAAAATATCGACTTTATTAATAAAAATCAAACTGCAAATAAGTAAATAAACATATTACAAAAAGTTCAAGTTTAATTTCTTGATTCTCGGGTTCAGTTTTTTCAATTTCTTGATCAGAATTTGAACTGTGCAAACTCTCTATTTCAAATAATGGATCAGTAACTTCATTATCACTTGATTAACAATCATAATTTTCGTCTTAAGTTGTTTATTTAGTCTACATCTGTCGGATTTAATGCATTAAAATAACTATATGATGAGCCGGCCATGTTGTAAAAATGTCACGTAATAGGGAACGTTGGGTCTGATGGAACCGTTAACAACTTTGAGCGTGAATCGTACACCACGTCTTTCTGATAAACTCAAACTGATTGTGTGTTCAGGAAGATTCAATTTGAAGGTAGACTGATAGATGAGTTAAGAAATAATTTCGTTTACTTGACAAACGGCTTCAAAGATGTCACTACGTATGACAGACCTAACGTTCCCACTGCCGGGTTAATAACACGCAAATGTTTCTTATTTCTTCCTTCATTCTGTGCTTTCATAATACTGCATATTGTGCACCATCCATGCAGGATTTTTCTGCGTGCCGTGATATCTAGATAATTCTTTGTCACTGACCTAGGGATATTTATTTTTTCTCTACGTTTAATAATTGTGAAATTACTGTCAACTTTATAGAACTTTCCTGCTATAACCAAGGTACACAGCATTCCACAATAACAAGGCGGATGCGAAGTAACAAAACACTTAACATTTCAGGTAAATTCATGTTGAGGGAAGGTTTCTCTTTTAAAATACGTTCCAAGTTGTCCATTAACATTTTAGTGGTCAAGCGATGAAATTGCAGTGCTCTTCCCCATTTCCTCTTCAAATCCATTTCCTCTGATTTACTAAATTACACTCAGAATTTTATAGTCGTCGGACTTTTGGCTTTCATATGGAATAAATCCTAGTGAATGAAACGTCCCACGCACGAAATTGTCGGCCGTATTGCATTATCGCAATATTTCCCACGCAAAATGCAAAGTTTTATTTTTATAACTGCTCCGCGTTTGCTTATGTGTTCCACCGGTGGAAGAGAAATCGTGAATTTGTGAAATACTCCACAGAACTTTTAAAATGAAGCGGAAACCTCGCAAGGTCTTTTTTGTTCCGAAACGCTTTTTACTGCCCCCATTCCGCTTTCACCTGCTAGTACGACGTGTGTCACAGTCACGCCCCACCATATTCACAATGAAGCATTCTCGAATACATAAAAAATCAATGAGCAAGCCAGGCGTTTTTATATTACTGGTTCTTTACATCTGTAGTAGGTACCGTGAAATGAACTTTTTATGAGCCGTTTTAATTGTTCTGATGGTTTCCTTTCCTAAAAAACAGGCACAATGTTCATGAGTTTAAACTCACAACAACGACTAAAAAGAGTACAAAAAAGTTAAAACTTTCTGAAATTACGTTATCATTCTTGCAATATAATATGTGAAATGGCGAAATTATTTCTCCACGATAAACGTTTAATTAAGTTCTTTAAAATGAATAAAATAGAACCCACGGCAGTCATTTGCATTAACACAATTTCATTACTTGTAAGTACGCACTGGCAAATAGACTCAATAACAAAGTGCTTAATACTCCGAACATCAACGTTCCTCAGCCGCTTGAAAATTCATCTACTGACACAGGAAGTACTGATACGTATAAATTATGAGGTGCGATTTCTACACCATAAAACGATTTTCTTGTAATCGGACATTGTATGATCAGAGTGAGATCTCCCAAACTATATGTCAACTTATTCAAGCACACTCGTATTTAAGTGTTTAATTCATTGCTGCTGAATGCTCTCAATCAGGGGTAGCCAACAGAATCGGCAGAGACCCCCTGGGGGTCGATGAAATTCTTAATTCTTCAGTGGTTGCGCTCATAAATGGAACGTGAGTGGCCGCGTGGATTACAATTATAATTATTTTTTTTTAAATTCTTATTAACAATATTTTTTAAAATGTCTTTTAGTTCAAATACGGACGAGTAATGGTATCTAAAATACCGGAACTGACTAAATACTAAATAATTTATTAGAACGTTACCATATTACAAGTTGTATGAAATGCTACACAAAGTGCATATATTATGCCTTTAAACAAATGTATTCAAATGCATGCGAGAAGATATTGGTTTTTGAAAATTGTGCTCTACGTGTGTTGTGCTCTACGTGCAATTGCTACATTTGGCATTACGATTATTGATAAAGTAATTTAACTAAATAGTTTAAATATCTGGAGCATTATTCTGAATGTTTCATTCTCAAAATCAGATCAACCGATTTTCAGATCACCGTTTTTCTGAATGTGGCACAGCCACTGGACACACTTTTTACAATACTACCGAGTGATCTTGTTTGGTTGACGTCTTCAGATAGAACAACATACCACGTTGCCCTTTGATGACAACGCTGAACCCTCGGTCTCTTCTCGGATTCCCAGAAGTCTCCCGCGTGTTCTTATTGCTGAAGGCACAGATTTTCTCTCAATCTTCCCTTTTATTTATTTTTTTCCATACAGGACAAAGCATCATTCTTTAGAAATCCTGGTCAACTTTCACCACTGTTGTACTTCACAAAAACATTCGGAGCATCGACTGCAGCCTCTTAGGTCAGAACGATGTCCGTTTAGGTCAGAATGATGTCAGCTTAGGTCAGAATGATGTCAGCTTAGGTCAGAATGATGTCAGCTTAGGTCAGAAACTAAACTGCGGGTGGTCGCGCGGACTACTATTGTAATCCAAGCTGTTTCTAGCGCTTATTGCTAGTACAGCAGTTATCACTTGAGTCATATTTCGGTATAATTCGATAGCTGAGATCTTTAATAAAAGAAACTGAAAGGTCCATGCCAAAAGGGCCGTAGGCTTCTGCGGCCAGAGTCATGTGCGTGATCTGGGCTGTCCGGGTGACGCCGCGTCGAAGGCTGTGTTGCCGACGTTTCGACCATCTTGTCGCGGTCTTCCGCATACCAGCCCTGAAGAAGACCACGACAAGATGGTCGAAACGACGGCAACACAGCCTTCGACGCGGCGTCACCCGGACAGCCCAGATCACGTCCATGCCAAAAGTTTGGCAACTCTTGTCGTAAACATCGAATGAATACGACTAAATTACAATGGTACTTCACGTCACCACTGAAGAGTTAAGGGAGTCAATGATGTACAAGTGATCAATTTGGGGGTCAATAGCCGAATATGTGACTGGTTAGTATAATCAATATTCCACTGAATAATTGAAAAATATTGAGAATTGAGAAATATTAATGAACTTGATCATTGTTTTCTGACAAGCAACAAAATATAATAATACATTAAGCTCGGTAAACAAGCTACAAATTTCGTAAAGATGGGACGTACAGAAAACGTACAGTCCAGACTGCACGATTTTTGCATGAAAAATATTGTTCATGCTCGTATTTTTCGTGCAGATAATTTACAGTTTTACTCAAGCGCCTCTAGCGGCAGAATTCACTAACGGATTTGTTTACCCGACAACAGTAACGTGTCCTTTTCCAATTTGTGGTTAGGTGTGTCAAGGTGCGATTGTTTGAACTGGTATTGTAATAAACTACCTCTTTCCCTAACCCTGCCTTTCTATTTTTGTTCTCTATAAACCTCCCCGTTAATTCATTCTTAAGCCAAGACGCACGCACAGAAATACCACCATTGAAAGTACGGACGCTGCAATTCACTTGTCTCCAAGTAGATCCCCTAGCGGCGTCTTATGGCGTTTCATACGCAAAAAGTACAAACTGTGTATACACGATGTTTGGCTTATATACCTCTAGTTAATGATCTTGATGTTTCTTTACAGACATTGTATTTTTTCAAATATGCTTGTTTTCTTTCGTATCGGTCACCTATCCTTAGAAGTTGGGGTACATGAAAAACTCAAGAAATTACAAGCTTTCACGATACTCTATCACGCAGGAAAATACTCTCCACGATATGCCCTGCAGAAATGTTATATCCAGTTCTTATAAAAAAAACACTCAATATTTTATAACTTTTGCCCTACAATGAAGATTAGAAACTCAACAAGGAAACTTCTTCGATAATTCAAGAATCCACACACTTATCAGAATACGAAGTTCAAAATTGTTGTTTTTAAGACACTTATGTGTTTTTTGAGTTGATTATAGATGCGGTATAGTGTAGAAAACGTAAAAGGAGTCGATGAAGCAAACAATTTTCTTAAACAGGGTAGATGAAAGAAAATGGCTGGGAATACGTGCTCTAAATCTGGTTAATTTAAAAGATGTTTCTTCAGCTACTATTCAATTATATGTGCCTCTAACCAAACATATTTTTAAAAGAAAATACCAATGTTGATATGTAATAATACTAAACAATATGGCATTTAAAATGCATTTTATTCCAATTATCAAGTAAACTATTTAATTCAATATTTCTTCTTATATACTTTATCGAATTTACTATTAGCCATACCTTGGAGTGCCATCTGCAGCACTTCTAGTGTTCTTTCACCAACTTGAGGATGCAGACAGATCTCGCCAACATTGCCAATTTCCTCCTGAAACACAATCAGTGGTTTTATGAATTACGTCGATAGAACTGCAAGATTCAAGACAATGCTTCAAGTACAAACTCATTTTATAAAGTCGTGAAATCATGTATCATCATTAAATCATGAAAAGTTTCAAAATTTGAAAATTAAAATCGCCTCTGATTCTCCCCCACCCCCACCCTCGTTCACTGATGTTTAATATTTCTATCACATTAATACAAAATAACAATAGAAAACATGATGTTCAACAATTGTATTCTTTTACATTAAAGACGTATAGATGTCTACCAATACGTATAGATGTCGTGAGTTTTCATTCCTGTGAAACCTTATATAAACTTCGAAGATTTGTCTCTCAATAAGATGCCCCTCCAAGCTCCAGTATAGTACAAGTTGTATTCCTGGAGATATTAGTCTTTCTTCCATGCTGCAGTGTGTCTTACTGGGTCTTATTTACGATCTATAGGGTGTCTTACTGGGTTTACTCCTCCTGGTGTCTCCCCCGTGGAGCACCGTCCCATCCGGAATACGCTCTGAGGTCGTAGTGACCTCACATGCGCGATAGTGAGGTAGTGCATGTAATTGGAAATGTGTGCGTAAATACGGAGAGAATTGAGCAAGAATATGGAAGGAAAGATTGTGTGCGGTTCATAAATAATCTGTTAAGATTTAACTTTATCATTCGCCTCATACAGATTGAAAAAACCTCGAAGTTTTATTTAGACAGCGGCTGAATTCGATCTAATTATGTAGCTAATTCAGAAAATCCGTCACAGTAGGACTCGAATCTCAGAAGCCCTGATGAACGACGCCAGAGAGACAACAGCAATACTGTCTCTGAAGTAACCCAACTAGTGTTGCCAGGTGATCTTAAATATTTCCTATTAGATAGCGCAGCAAAAACCACCAAAACCTTTAAAAAAACTTAAAATAATTGTTTCATGTTTAAAATATATGAGGTATAGAAATTAAATAAATACGAAAAATATAATTATTTTTATACGGTGATATTATTTTACAGTAAACATCTACATTAGTAATATATAAAAATATGTTTAATAACTCATTATGCAATAATGTACCAACACTGAATTAACTTTGTTTTAAGGAATTTCACAGTGTACGAATTACGAAACTGTATTACCAACATGTACAATTGCCTCACTCACTATAATCACTGAGAAAGATAAAATGAATTTGTAAAAATTTTTCTTCAACCGAAATTGTTGTTTTTATTCCTTGTTTATTACTGTGATTCATTCCTTTTCATCAAATGTGTTACTCTCTGCTCAATTTTAAACGAGGGAATTCATTCAAATGATCTTGAACGCCCATAAATACTTTTATAATCTTAGTTATCTTTGAATACATATACCCTCAATAGTTATCAACCTATTTTTGAGTTTTGTGATACTCAATATAATTTTTTTAAATGACATTTAAAAAACTAAACGAAAAATCCTAAATAAATTTGCTCTCTAAAACATCCACTAAAGACAAACAAAAAACCAATTAAATTTAGGGGACCCTTAACATGACAGCACTGATCCGAGCTGGTCAGCGTGCACGAAACGATTGGCCTTATGGGGACCACGAAGTCCTGCACCATGATTGGCCACGCGGGAGATGGGACTGAGGCTTCTATCACGTTACCGACCGCCTGCTGTTGGGCGAGGCAAGGCCGTCTGAGCACCACAGTCCAGTGCGCCTGGCACGCGCCCCAGGCCGTCCATGGAGGGGCGAAGATTCCTCCGATAATAAGACGCGCGTCTGCTCCGTAGGGGGTATTGGACTCCCGCTGTTGCTCCCTCTCCTCGTTTTCCTTACAACTCTGGCGACGGCACGGTGGAAAAATGCCCGGGAAGCTGACTAAACGTCGGGAATTAACAATATAATTATAACAAGTACAAGAAAGAAAAGGAAAGGAAGAAGTGGAAGAGAGGAAAGAAGGATAGGAGGAGGAGGAGAGAAGGCGAAGAAGAATTATGTCAATCTTTGGAAGGAATTTGTTGATATCTCAACAAAGTACTCTGAAAAATATCGGTCAAATTAATACACTATATGAAATTCTAATCCGCTTTTTCATCTTTCTCTTCTGTAGTGATGAAACCGTATAAAATATGACAAACAGATGGTATTCCGAAATTGTCAAAAAACCAAAATAACATGCCACAATAGAAATTTGATTCTTGAGATTATTCGTATCTCAAGAGAAACATAGGTTATCAAATTTTAAAACTCTGATATCCAGTTTGCAAAATTACAATTTTTTCATATTTCAAGAGAAAAATACGTTATCAAATTACAAAATTCTGAGATTCTGTTGACCACATTACATTTTTTTAATAAAGTGGAACAAAATTCAGAATACGAAAGCATTTAAATTACAGAATTTCAAGAAGTGCTGCTAGCGTTCGAGTTAACACGAATGCACTAGGAATAGCCAAGTGGAATCAAAGAAACACCTATTTATTAGATAATTCGAGGCATCTTTCGTGTTCGTAAGGCGTTGTGACGTTGCGCAGAATCTCGACGGACTGCTCCCTTGGACCGCGTCGCGCGCTCTCCTGATCCTCCCGCACGTTTTGCGGGTCGATGTCGGATTCTGCGCGATGCGCCGCTGTTGTGTTCTCGCGAGAACGAGCGCCGCTATTTCCGGAACGGCTGGCTCTCGCACGCATTCTTCTTTTTCGCCTTCTTCTCTTTCTTCCCACGCCCTCTCCCTCGAGGAGGAGGAGGAGGAGTTCTTGGTGCGGCGTGCTCTTTTAAAGGCACCGGGTTCGTTCCCGGATTCCTACGCGAGCTATAAAAAGATGTGAGCTCCATAAACGAAGCGAGACGTCGAAAGTCAAGAAGTGAAATGTAAGGTTTTGTTATCATCACTTCAGACATTTTTTCTGGTCTGGTACTAGTCATCGATACCCGTCGTCATTTTTTTCGTGTACATAGAATGTGTTGAGAACATTATTTTACTTGAATCTTTATTAAAATCATAAAATAAACGATGCAAAATTGCTCCAAAGTAGTTGATTTACCCCTTATTTGTTTTATTAAAATGTGCTTAGTTTTTTTTTACATTTTTACATTCTTCCGAATATTTTGCGTTACAATACTTGCCCTATGTTCTGTAAAGGAGAAAGTAAAAGTTCTAGAAACTTAAAAAAAAGTCTTTATGATTTCATGTTCTATGATGTGAATTTCATGTTCTATTTGTTGTACATTATCACTCTACGTCATGTCATACATCATTTGAAACTGTAAACATTTGGTTGCCTGTTACTAATCCCCTAAAAGCTACAAGGTCCTTAATCATGTGAGCTTATTGCTGTTTTCCTTTGAATAGGGTTTGAGTAACCTTAAGCCTGTCAGTTCACGTAGAAACCTCCCAGATTCTGCGCTGATACAAAAGTATCACAAATTCGCTTTAAAATCTTATATCTCATCTCGAAGAAAGGCATTTTTCAAACTGTATATATGTCTCCTGCAATTTGTTTTCGACCATTTCGTCTCAGATCTCATTCCCCCTTTCAGGGCTTCCGTCACATGATCGTGTCACGCTGTTCCCCTCGTGTTCGTCCCCCTGCGTCTATTTCTTCCTTCCTCGCCGCGCCTCGTGTTTGTCTCGACTTTCCGCACCCGTCAGCAATCCATCCCTTCACATCCGTTGCAGCAGTTGAGGAGCTAAAGACGAAACCAGATATTGCAGATCGATGCCGAATTCGGGTGCTTCCTAAACCCCTGTTGCTACACTCGCGAGAGAACCACGGCTGCCACTATTGAAAGCGAGCTCTGCGTCTTCCTTTCAGATAGCTCCGGTTTCGCTAAGGACGGCAAAGCACGGCGGCCAATCTGCTCACGGAATTGCTTTGCCTCTTATTGGTTCATCGTCCAGTGATACTCCCTTTTCTACAGGAACAGCTTTTACTTTCAGTATACGTTGGGAAGTGCTTTGATGTTTTTATAAGATCCTTTGACTCTCCTATATGAAATTACGAATCGTTGAATTCTCTTCTACTTGGTTCAAGAATCAAAGAAACGAGAATTCTTTGTAGAGATGGATGTGATTCGTTTAATATTCTTGTTATATAACACTGTATTTTTCTAGAAATATCACTACTCACAAGCATATTGAGTGTGTAACATTTTATTTTTAAATTATAAATGGAGCTCAATCGTTACTACAGGAAACATTTTGGATTTTACAACTTGATGCATCTGACGGCAAGAAAATCTATTTCTATAAATTCTAATTCTCCGTTCTACGGTCCGCATACGATGTTTCCATCCACATCCTTACCTCCGCCACCCACAGATACAGTGATGCCAAATACACCACACACCGAGAGCTTTGTCGGTAGTCTAGAGCTTGTGCCGGTTGGAGCGGTGCCCCGTTGGGGGGAAGATTTCAGCTGAGGCAAACCCGCCAGCAAGCCGTTCTGCAGTCGGCAGCATTTTTTCCAGTTCCAGCAGGGAAGGAACACCGCCACTTTTCGGTACATCACTTGCACTACACTTACAGAACTAACATCCATAGTGGTTATGACGCAACCGGAAACACTAAACGCTCACCGACGTAGGGCTCCGTTCCTTTCAGGTTTCGCCCTTTCCACCGCCCATCCCTCGGACGCCTCGGCGAAGTAATCGTATTAAGACCGTAATTTTGAGTCATGCGGACGCGCAACCCTCCCCGCTATTAGTGCGGTATTTATACCGTAAATGGGTTAATGAAGTTTGGAAGGAAGCGCGAGAGGATATTACGTAGTTAAAGGGAAGGTATTGATTGTGATGACGGTTCCCTCCCAGAAACAAAGAGCAACGGTTGTCGAGAGGTTTGTCCAGGGAGTCGGGATGTGTCATTCTGAATCGGTTTTTTAAACCAAAAAGATCGATCTTTAGAATCGATTCCGTTCTTTCCGGCTTTGGCGTGAGCTTTAAGCTGGAAATCGAATCGTTCAAAAGCACTCCTTACATATAACTTGCTTCTGTATTTTCAAACACTGCGGATT